AAATTGCTTTTTCACGGTGTTGTTTTGATTGAATTTTCGAAATACTGAAAAAACAGTGAAAAATTGGCAAAATTAGGTAGAGAAATTTTCAAAAAAAAGGATACGGTAATGTTAACGTTTTTCTGATGAAATATATTAATTATAATCAACTGTAGGAAAAATGTTCCAAGAAACTGCAAAAAAACGGAATTCTCCATTTTCTGATTCAAACAATCATTTTTTGTTACTAGTCAAAACAATATCTAATACCAGTTTTTCAGGTTTTCGTGGTTACCAATATGGCTGTCAGTTCTATAACCGGCGATATTGTTGAAGATATCATTGCTACTTCGATTGCCCGCAGAATTCAGGTACAATGTCCCATATTTCAGAAGTTCAAGTTATTTTTTGCAGATCAATGTTCTTGTCTACAACAACACCGGATTCCAGGCTGATGACCCGAGTCTGGCAACTCTGAGTAACATTGCAGCTGCTACTCTCGGTCAATATATCTTGCCAAGTATTGAAAATGGCAATGAGCAATATGCAGTAAGTAAAGTAATGGTTAATACGGAATAATTGTTTTCAATAGATTGTAAATGCTCTTTTGGAAAATTGGGATCAAGGCTATCAACCGACCAAAGTTTTCACAGGTGGAATCAAAACCTTACCTGTTGATACTTCAAAAGATATCTACGTGGCAGCTCAGTTGAGCTATGGACAAAGTACGATATTTCACACATTTTATGAACGAAATTTTACATTTTTGCAGACGCTTTTTTCAGTGTGGATTTACCGCCAACTGTTGTTCAAAAAACCGACTTCTGGAAACTTTATAAGTTCGTCTAATTAAAAGGAATAATTAAAAACAAGCGACTTTTAGGTTGACTGCCGGATCGTACCACCCACAGCTTTCAGCGTCTAACCAGACCTCTGACACGCCGATTATTGTTTATACCACCGGAGATCTCGTCGCTTATTCTGCTTTCACAAGTGATGAAAACAGAACTGCAGATGTTGTTGATAGTGCATTCAGTGTTTCTGTCAATCGTGTGTTTCGAAAAATAAGTCATTTGTAATTGTGTTCATTCAGAAACATCTTACTCGATGGTGGTGAAGCTGGAATCTGAAAACGCTCCAGTAGACTACGAAGCAGGTTACAGAACAATCGGCAACCC